ATATATCCATTTGGTTTCTAGCTAGCTAGATGCCTAGCTTTCTCAGTCTGTTCATATCTATCTCTCTCTCTCTCTCTCTCTATATATATATATATATATATATATATATATATATATATATATATATATATATATATCAGTTTGGTTTCTTTATCTGACTATCTATCTATTCTATCTATGTTTGGTCTCTATCTGTCTGTATATGTAGCTATTTATCTATGTATCTACCTATCTCAATCTGTTTGAAATCTATCTATCTATCTATCTGTCTCTCTCTCTCTCTCTCTCTCTCTCTATATATATATATATATATATATATATATATATATCTGTCTATGTATCTATCTATCTATCTATCTCCGTTTGCTTTCTATTTAACAAGCTGTCTCAGTCTGTTCATATCTATCTATATCTTTGGTTTTATCTATCTCAGTTTGGTTTATCTAGATGATCCGACATAGATAGATAGATAGATAGATAGATAGATAGATAGATGAATAGATAGATAAACCGACATAGATAGATAGATAGATAGATGAATGAATAGATAAAACCGACATAGATAGATAGATAGATAGATAGATAGATAGATAGATAGATAGATAGATAAACCGACATAGATAGATAGATAGATAGATAGATAGATAGATAGATAGATAGATAGATAAACCGACATAGATAGATAGATAGATAGATAGATAGATAGATAGATAGATAGATAGATAGATAGATAGATAAACCGACATAGATAGATAGATAGATAGATAGATAGATAGATAGATAGATAGATAGATGAAACGAAGATAGATAAAGAATGTATATTGATAGGATGAATGGATGGAAGGAAGGAAGGAAAGAGGGAGGGAGGGATGGACAAAGCGTTTCATTTCACTTCTCCATCTCTTCCTTGTACTCTCTTGGCGTGGTAAAGCCATACAACCAAACACCATGTTTTGCAAACAGTCCGTAAAAAAAAACTCTGTGAATTCTCTCTTCACAACGAGCGGGAGTCGGTATGAAAGGTTAATGAGAATCGACAACCATCAAATCAACACAGCATTTCATTTTTTCCATCTTTTCTGGCTTATTTTTTTCTTTTTGAAGAGGGTTAACAAGTCTTTTTCTATAAAAGATATAAACAATGCAACTGTGGAAGAAAGGGAGGCGAAATATTAGAAAGAAAGGAAGAATGAAAGCAAAAAAGAAAAGATCGAAAAAAGAAAGAAAGAAGAGAACGAAAGAAAATACAAAAATGAAAATGTTGACTGGCGAGATATTGATGCTCCAAATATGATGTATATAAGTTTAAATGGGGAAAAAAAAGAAGATATATTCATGGCAAGGGAAATATATACTGTTTCCTTATAAGGAAACATTCGGCAGTCATTGACCAAGCAGCTACAAATTCTTAAGACTGAAATTCATAAAAGATTTTTATTAAAAGAATTTTCCAAAAAATAGGTTTCTGAAGTCCACTGTTATCGCTCTTTCTGGTATTGATAATTAATATAATATTCTTCATCTTTTTTCTTCTTCTTCTTCTTCTTCTTCTTCTTCTTCTTCTTCTTCTTCTTCTTCCCCGCCTTCTTCTTCTTCTTCTTCTTCTTCTTCTTCTTCTTCTTCTTCTTCCGCCTTCTTCTTCTTCTCTTCTTCTTCTTCTTCTTCTTCTTCTTCTTCCCAGCCTTCTTCTTCTTCTTCTTCTTCTTCTTCTTCTTCTTCTTCTTCTTCCCCGCCTTCTTCTTCTTCTTCTTCTTCTTCTTCTTCTTCTTCTTCTTCTTCTTCTTCTTCTTCTTCTTCTTCTTCTTTCTTCTTCTTCTTCTTCTTCTTCTTCTTCTTCTTCTTCTTCTTCTTCTTATTATTATTATTATTATTATTATTATTATTAATATTATTATTATTATTATTATTATTCCCCTCTTCTTCTTCTTCTTCTTCTTCTTCTTCTTCCTCTTCTTCTTCTTCTTATACTTCTTCTTATACTTCTACTACGACTACTACGACGACGACGACAACAACGACTCCATCTTCTTCTTCGCCACCTTATTCTGCTTCTTGTTCTCTTATTATTATTCTTGTTCTTGTTCTTCTAATTCTACTTTTGCTTAATGCAGACGTCAACGCCTTGGTTATGCAATTGTCTTTTCGTTGAGTTAAGAAATGAAAGAAATGAAGAAAGATAAACTTTGAAATAAAAAATAAAATATGATGACGATAAGGTACAACTAACAAGAGATTTGACAAAAATAAAGAATTGTAGTTATCTCCATAGAGTCGCTAAAAAGAAGCATAGCATGATGAAAAGATTCCTCAAACTTAATAAAAACAAAGTTTTATCGTTAAAATCTTTATGTTGATATTTAAAGGAAAGATCAACAAATTTTTTGATAATTAAATCATATTTTTATTCTTTTAGAATGTTCGGAAATTTTCCTAAAAAATCTTGGTTTGATTTGTTTTTAATTTATATAATATATATATATATATATATATATATATATATATATATATATATATAAATTAATTGTTTTAAAATATAGTAAAAAAAACTTATTTTAAATCAATTAATTTATAATATTAATGCTCTGTAAATTTACATTGAGCACTATTTTGTAAAAATAAAAATATCTATAAGAACACCGGATTATATATCTTACTGTTTCTTTCTTTTTATTTAAATATATATATATATATATATATATATATATATATATATATTTTTATATTATATATATATATATATATATTTTATAATTCGACGTATGAGGGTCATGCAGATCAGTTCCTAGGAAACTGACAGCCCGACAACAGCACATGAGATTTGATTATAGTGGTGAAGGTTTCGCGCAGGACCATCCACACTTTTTGAAGGGACAAATACAGAGACCTGGTGCACTACGTGACACAAAGTCCCCAAACGACCCTCCGCTGATTTTAAATTCAGAGTTGTCCTTCTGCTAGACCAGTTGCCATCCAAGGCTATAGAACCCTGTCTGTCCTGCTATTTACCCATAGCTGGAGGGATAAGAAGAGGATTCATACCTTCCCCAAGGGTATCAGCACGTAACTGAATGTAACTGGATTCGACTGGAATTCGAACTCGGCTCTTCGAGTATATATATATATATATATATATATATATATTTGTTTGGTTTGGTGTGTTTTACGGTATATCAATCTTACTGGGTTATTCAATGCCGAGAAGATTTTTATTGCTGCTAATAATTTATTCCAGAAATGCACTGCTGGTAATAATTTTTCTAAAAACTTATTGCAGGCATTAAAACCTATTTATATTCTTTCATAGCGTTTTGACCCCTTTTGGGAAGTTAACCATTTGCCCATAGCTGGGACCCTAACAGGTGCTACCACACCGGGTAAGAATGGACCTGGGAACGCCAGTAATTAAGAGGTGGTTCCATGCTCCTCAAGCCCTTCTGATCAAAGGCCTTGCTGCCGGATATATTTTATCGTCTTACCCAGGACGCGGATGTAGTTTATCATCTTACCCAGGATGCGGATGTAGTTTATCGTCATACCCTGGACGGTTAAAAAATCTTGTTTTTCTTGCGTCAGCGGAGAACCAAATATTAGTACAGAAATGTTTAGCGTCTTTTTGTGATGAAAAATAAATTGATTTGGAAATTCTCGCAAAAGTAATATAATTGTCGCAATTTAAAGAAACGTTCAGGAAATTTCGAGAAATTCATTTTTGTACGGCTGAAAGTCCCATGGAGAATTTAAATTAGCAATTTTTTACAATTGCTCAAGTAATTTTTACCAGCTAGCTTTCACTGTCATTAAGTAAAGGCTATATTTACTAACCATTAATTAAGAGCTTACTACAATTCAGTGACACCCAATACTTTAAAAATAATTTTGCATTTTTTGTGTGTGCGTGTATGTGTTTTTTGTAAATACGTTCGTCCATACACAAAGAGTGATAACAATAATATATTTAAAACTTAAGTATATAAAATTCAATAAAAACATTAGATTACAGAGAATATTTTCCTAATGTTTTAAGATTACTGTGTAGTTCATAATTTTATTAAAAAAGTCGCTCACGTTATATTCCTCAAGTAAATAAACACCAACACCGTATTGAAAAACTGCATTTCTGCGATATTTTAAACTAAAAGTAAGTAATATTTGTTTCAAATCAGATAAATTAAAAATTAAGTCACCTAATTTTTACTCAAATAAAGTTTCAGAAAAGTATTTTTTTTTAAAGGGAATTAAATAATGATGGCTGACGGCTAAAAATGGCGCTAAAATCAGCGATGTCATTACGATTTCAAGACAAAAACACCTTCCATCCAATTTAAATTAGTTTTGAAATACAACGAAGTATTTTGCTTATTGGAAATATCAAATTTAATTTGTTAACTTGAAATTAAATGTAAAATAAAAGCTTCAAGAAGTATTCTCCATTTTAAAAAAATAATTTTAAAGCTTAGGTATCCCGTTTCTGTGGAAGCCGCTAAATAAATGAAAAAATTTTTAAAAATTCAATAGAAGACAACACGGAGAAAAAGAAAGAAAGAAAGAAAGAAAGAAAGAAATAAAGAAAAGAAAGAAAGAAAGAAAGAAAGAAAGAAAGAAAGAAAGAAAGAAAGAGTGTCATCATTGATATTGTCAGGTCGATAGTGTAGTGTTTTATTTTGTTCTGAGCTAAACAGAAGTATAAGTCGATGTGTTTTTATTTTACTTATTTTATTGGATTATTTTTTACACCCTGAATCCTACAAAGAAAAGACGGACACGGAGGGTGGAGCAAGGCCCAACTGATTCTAGACAAGCAGGCGACATTATCGACGACGTAGGCGTGGGGAACAAGAATAGAAAGTAAAATCTAAACGGGAAAGTCTTTTGTTTTCGAAGCTCAGGCCGGACTCCGTCCACTCCATAAAATGTCGCACGCCGGCTGCCGGCTGGGCTAACGGAACATTTGACAAAAACGCGAGACAAAAACGAAGTATAAATGACCTCAACTTGAAAAGATGACATTGCGACATGTAAGGGTTTCTCTCTTTTTATCTTTCTTTCTTGAAAATGGCAGTATGGCGATTTGGGTCTGTGTTGACAATATGGCTTCTAATGTTAGGATTTACGTCTTTACGTAATTTCTGCAATTTTAGGGGCTTCTGATTTTTTTTCTCTTTTTCTTCTTTCTCTTCTTCTAACATTTCTTCTTCTTCTTCTTCTTCTTCTTCTTCTTCTTCTTCTTCTTCTTATCTTTTCTTCTTTATTATTTTTATGTACTTCTTTTCCATTGATTCATTATCTTTTCTCTATCTCTTATTATTTTTTTATGTACATTCTTCTTTTTCCTTCTTTTCATTGTTCATTTTTTGTAACTCATCCTTCTTCTATGTTTTTTTTTTTTTTTTCTTCTTTTCTTCTTCTTCTTTATTCTGCATTCTTTCCTTCAATACCGTTTTTTAGGGATTCCATTCCCACGCCTTCACCTATTCCTTCTGGCCGTTATATCTCTCCTCCTCTTCTTCTTTGCTTTCATTATCTTTCATGTATTTTGTAACTCATATTTTTCTTCTTCTTCTTCTTCTTCTTCTTCTTCTTCTTCTTCTTCTTCTTTCCATTCTTCTTATCTTTTTCTTCTCTCTTCTTATTTTTTTTGTAGCTTCTTTTTCCTTCTTTTTTATTGTTCTTTTCTCATCTTCTTCTTTTTTTCTTTTTTCACTTTCCTTGTTTATTCTTATTTTTTCATTCTTTTTTAGATTCCATTCTACGACTTCTTTCCTTCTTCTTCATCGCCCTCTTCCTTTGCATTCCTTTCTTTTTGTTGTTTTTCTTCTTCTTCTTCTTCTTCTTCTTCTTCTTCTTCTTCTTCTTCTTCTTCTTCTTCTTTCCATTGATTCATTATCTTTTTCTCTATCTCTTATTATTTTTTATGTACACTTCTTTTTCCTTCTTTTCATTGTTCATTTTCTCATCCTTCTATGTTTTTTTCTTTTTTCGCTTTCCTTGTTTATTCTGCATTCTTTCCTTCGACTTTTTCGACACTTTATTTCTTCTTGCTTTATATCTTCCTCCTTTCTTCTTTGCCATTATCTTTCATGTATTTTGTAACTTATTTTTTCTTCTTCTTCTTCTTCTTGTTCTTCTTCTTCTTCTTCTTCTTCTTCTTCTTCTTCTTCTTCTTCTTCTTCTTCTTCTTCTTCTTCTTCGCCACCTTATTTTTCTTCTTATTCTCTTCTTCTTCTTCTTCTTCTTCTTCTTCTTCTTCTTCCTCCTTTATTTTTATTTTTCTTGTTGTTCTCTTCTTCTTCTTCTCCTTCTTCGCCACCTTATCCTTCTTGTTGTTCTCTTCTTCTTCTTCTTCTTCTCCTTCTTCTTCTTCTTCTTCGCCACCTTATTTTTCTTGTTGTTCTCTTCTTCTTCTTCTCCTTCTTCGCCACCTTATTCTTTGGATGTTCTCTTCTTCTTCTTCTTCTTTGTCACCTTTTTCTTCTTGTTGTTCTCTTCTTTCTTCTTCTTCTTCTTCTTCTTCTTCTTCTTCTTCTTCTTCTTCGTCACCTTCTTTTTCGTGTTCTTTTCTTCTTGTTCTTCTTCTTCGCCACCTTATTGTTCGTCTTGTTCTCTTCTTCTTCTTCTTCTTCGTCTACTTCTTCTTCTTCTTGTTCTCTTCTCCTTCTTTGCCAACTTATTCTTCTTCTTGTTCTCTTCTTCTTCTTCTTGTTTTCTTCTTCCCCTGTTTTTTCACCACCTTATTCTTCTTTTTGATGTCTTCTTCTTTTTCTTCGCCACCTTATTATTTTTGTTTTCTTCTTCTTCACCACCTTATTCTTCTTCTTTTTCTTCTTCTTCGCCACCTTATTCTTCTTACGCGATGTAATTGATATGTTATTGTTATTTATTTGTTTGGAAAGGAAGCTTTAATACAATCTTTTACCAAATCTTTTGCTTGAAGTCAATGAACGATTTTCATAGAAATTGACTGAGCAAATTAAACTGAAATCTGCTCAAGTTCACCATCTTTTGTATGTCAAATATTTATGGTTTTCCCGGGATTTTCTGAATTCGTTTTAACCATTCCTCGTCTTCCTATTATTAGTGGAAAAGACATTGTCTTGAATGGCACCTTTTCACAATTTCTATTAATAGATCATCATATTTTAAAAGTTTCTCAAATTCTTTTGTTGAGATGTTTTTATCAGATTCATTTTTATAGAGAATCATTTTTGCCCGCCACCAGCTTATGGCTGATGCTGTCCCCAAAAGAACAAACCTTGTCTTTCAGCTCACACTTTTCTATTGACATGAATTGAAGCGATTATATTGTCTTAATTAACTAATTAATTAATTACTCCTAATGAGGTTACTTCACTCTCATGCCAGACACTTTTTAAATCGGAATCTATATTGCATATTTATAAGTCTACCATTCGTCTGAGTATTGACAAATATTATCATATCTAGTTAAGTGATCCTGCTATACCGGGATTAACAGCAAAATTGTCTAAATCGTGATACAACATGGGATAATTGTCCATCCCACAAAATGTTTAATATCTAAAAAAAAAAAAACACTAAACGAATTAAGTTTCTTTTTCCATGTTTTCAGATAAGACGTTTAGCCATCTTGACACCATTTGTCCAAAGAATCACTGAAAAACCTTTTGTGTTATTCAGCTAGAAAGAGAATAGGTTAAAATCGTTTTGTGTTAGACCCATTGTCTTCCCAAGTGAGCAATGGTGAGAGGAAAAAGATCATTCAGGCTTTCAGTAATGGTACCAACCTTCATATTCTGGCTTCCATCTTCAAAGTCGATTCAAGAAGCATCAAAAGAATGGTGAATAAATTTTTAAAAAAAGAGAGAACAGTAGAGAGGAAAACAGGATCAGGAGGTCACAACAGGAAGTGAGGTTAAAGACATCAATTAGAAAAGATCCAACTCAATTCATAAGAGGTTTGACACGTGAAAAAAGAGTTTCAGCTATGACAGTTCAAAGAGCAGTTAAAAATGGACTTGCATATAATAATTGCATAAAATAGTCACACAACTGAAATAAGGATACTTTCTGTATAAAAAAATTTGTTATATAGGAATGAAGTGCCATTGCCGACACATGAGTTTGAACATAGATCGCCAGTGAGCAAACATAAGCGATCTCATTATTGAATTAAATGGATCACGTGACCATAGAGGAAACACATATATATGAAGTCGTGTGACATCTAAATGATCTTTATTTTTAGTCTATCCTCTATTACTATACGCACCGCTATTCTATACTCTGTTTTGTTATTGCACCTTAGTAATTTTTTTCTAATTCTTCCACATCCAGTAACCTCCTTGTGTCTTAGTGGCTTTACTGCCTTGCTTGGGCGAACTCGATTAAAAATTTTATTGAACAGTATATTTATTTATAAATATAATTTTTAATAAATAAACGGGACATCTACTCAAATATGGGCATCTAATGAAAATAACGTTTAAACAATAAAATCTATCTATCTACCTAGTTTGTTCATTATCTATCTATCTATTTCAATCTATTCATATCTATCGATATATCTATCACACTAGATTCAAGCAAACTCCAGACACGAATGAATATATATATATATATGTGTGTGTGTGTGTGTATATAGGGATTAGACAAAATAATTGGATCACTTTTTAAATTTAAAAAAAAATTATTTAATATGGAGTTAGTCCTCCTTTAGCCTCGCATACAGATTTAATACGCCTAGGAATGGAATCATACATCTTCCTGACTTCATCCAGAGGAATTTTCAATCATTCTTCCATTAAAACCTTCTCCAGCTCTTTAAGACACAACGGTGGAGGATAGCGGCTCCTAACTTGTTGCTCCAAAATGCACCACAAATGTTCAAGAATATTGAATATTGATTGGGGAGGCCACTCCATGTAATCTAGCTCACTTTCATGCTCTTCATACCAATTCTTAACCACTCGAGCGTTATGTATTGAAGCATTATCGTCTTGGAAGATGCAGTCACCATCAGGGAATAAAGTCTTGGCCATTGGATGAACATGATCTCCCAAAATGTTCAGGTAATCTTTGCTGTTGATTCTACCATGCAGGGCAACTATTGAACTGAAACATTTCCATGATATGGCGACCCAAACTATCACTGATCCACCTCCATGCTTCACTGTTGGAAGAATGCAGTCAGGGTTGTAAGCTTCTTTGGGCTGCCTCCACACATAAACTCGCCCTGAAGTTGGGAAAAGAGAAAAACTGGACTTGTTTGAGAATATGACTTGCTTCCATTGGTCTGCAGTCCAAGCATTGTGATCTCTGCACCACTTCAACCTCTTTTGAATGTTGCGAGTGGAGAGAAGAGGTTTCCTCACAGCGGCTCTTCCATGATATGCAGCCATATGGAGCTCACGGTGAACAGTTTTAGTAGAAACTGATCTATTCAGATGGTTATTCAACTCAGCAGTCACTTTGGCCGCATTTTTCCGATGATTTTTTGCCACATTGCGTTTCAATGCACGTCAGTCCACGTCAGTAAGTTTGCAAGTCCGGCCCGAATTGCTACGGTTGCTAGAGGTCTTACCCTGTTTCTCGAATTGCATCAGTGTTCTTGATATGGTAGCTCTTGAAAGACAAAACAATTCAGCAACCTTAGTGATCGAGGCTCCTGCCATCGAAGCTCTTTTTGCTCTTTTTCGAACTCGAAGTTAAGCATTTAGCTTAAATTTTATTAAATTCTAAAAATAAATAAGACAAAGACAGTAAATTAGATAAATAAATGTATTTACAATAGATATAACCTGCAATTACGAAGTTTTAGTTAAAGTCCTTAATATAATAGGTCTTTGAAATATAGGAGTGGATTTTGCAACTGTTCCAATTATTTTGTCACACCCTGTACATATATATATATATATATATATATATATATATATATATATATATATATATATATATCTTAAGGTGTGGTATATTTATGGGATAAAGTGCTCAATATCAGAGATAGAGCGTGTGTAAATAAATAAAAAGTGAACATAGAAGTCACTTATGAGGTCTACGGTCTGTTTCATGCTATATGCAATCGTCAGGCGATGTGTGCTGTTATTTTCTCGGCTATTTATACATATACGGGTCAGTGGTGCATTGTGGGTAGTCTATTATGGCGGTTATTTTTTATTTAAGTCGTTTATTTATTTATTTGGGTTAAATTATTTTACTTGTTTTATATATATATATATATATATATATATATATATATAAAATTTTATTGAGAGTGCCACTATCAAATCTTGCAGACACACACATATATTTTCAGTTGACATTTGATTACTTGAAGTAACAGGTTTTTTATATTCTTTGATTTCTTTGAATATAATCAGATTTTCTGTATTTAATATACTGTTTAAAAATTGAGTTTTGTATTCCGTTTTTCTACTTAATAACATATAAAAAAAACCTGTCATCATTATAAATTTAAGAATGCTCAAAAATATTCTTGAGGATGTGAAAATCAATGTATACTATGGAGTATACTAAGTGATACAATTTAATGCTTAATAAATGAAAATGAGTAAATGTTAAAAATTTAAATTTCTATTTTGTTCATATATACTTATTTGCTGAAGAAGATATATATATATATATATATATATAGAAAACCAATATCTTCATTGTTTCATCTACAATGCCAAATAAAAGGCATACAAAATCTACAACTACAAAAACGATAAGGACATTAATAAAAAAAACAATGATAATAAACTTAATAAAAACAGACATATGATAATATTACCTACTTAACATCTTCTATCCCAAACAATTTATCAAATCTTAAGAATATGGAAATAATTAAAACCACATCCAAATCTATCACGTATATTTTCAGAACTAAAAATATCCATAAGAATAATTATTCTGAAGCAGGTATATGCAATGTAAACTGCCAGAACTGCTCCTCACAATATATCAGGCAAACTTGCAGAAATTTTAAAAGAAAAACATACCCATGAACACAAAACGTATCTTATACAAAACAATTCATCAAATGCATTATCTGTACATAGAAATAAATTCAACTACAAATTTGATCTAAAAAATGCCACATAGGAAAATTCTTAAGAGCGCCGGCAGCAATAACAGTGATAAGCTCTTATACCCATTATGACATATATATATATATATATATATATATATATATATATATATAATATTATATATATAAAAACAAACAAAAAAATCCTTAAATGTAGTTAAATGAAAGAAATGTCGACGTCTGACGTTTCGGTTTATTAAACCTTTTCAAGACAATATTCATCAAAAATACAATTCAGTTCAATATGACAATACGATGGACATAAAAACACAAGTCTTATTCAGAACAGATAACTGAAAATTTTTAAAATGATCAGCCTTCCGTCTAACATGGTCACGCTGTCGTCACATGGGCGACGCTTTCATAACGTATTCCTAAAAGTTTGTGATTATTTTGAAATGAAAAAGAAAAAGAAAATGAAAAGAATTCTATTAGGTTCTAAAATTCTTATGTGTATGCTTGTCGAGCATCAATCTCGCTAAAAAAGGGGAAATATTAAAGAAAGCAGGTCTAGTATTCACCGTGCGTGAGATGGATATTATACCTGCTTCATAAATCCTCCTGATAATATTACCTACTTAACTGATAAATATAAACTACAAACATAGTGATTCTGACTTCCTTAAAGGTTTTACCCAAGGCATTTTAGCTGCCTCTTTTAATGGCCAAAATATGGAATTCAATTTACCTAAGAGGTATATGAATGCCTTAAAATCCTTGTCTATGAATAATAACATTATTATATCTCCTTCTGATAAAGGAGGCGGTGTTGTTGTCATGGATACCATTGCTTACAACCAGAAAATGTTGGACTTGCTTAATGACAGAGACACTTATGAACAGATCACCTCTATACAAATTTCTAAGAATCTAAAAGAATTTAATAGGTCCTATAAGAAACTCATATGTAATGAAGATAAGATTTGGCTTTCCCTTATTAACTACCACCCGACCGTCCCTAAAATTTATGGCCTCCCCCAAAACCCATAAGCTTAACATTCCATTAAGGCCCATCATCTCGGGTATAGGCTCAGCTCCTCATAATATCGCTAGGTATTTAACTAAATTTCTAACTCCAATTCTGGGCACCGTAAGTAACGCACATATAAAGAATTCAGGCTCTCTTTTAAATAAGTTGAGAAATATTGATATAGATAACAAATTACTAGCTAGCCTAGACATCAAATCTTTATATACTAATATACCTGTTGATAAATGCATTAAACAATTAGAGAACCACCTTAAGAAAATTGACTTTAAGCTACCTATCTCTATCTCGAAATGCATCAAATTATGCATCCTTTGCACTTCACATTGTTTCTTCCAATATAATAATATTTATTATAAACAAAAATTTGGTTTACCGATGGGGAGTCCTCTCTCTGGATTCCTAGCATGCATATTTCTAGAATTAAATCTTTTAAAGATGTCATTCCACCTGATACACATTACTTTCGATACATCGATGACATTTTATTTATCTACCCACATAAGCATGATTTAAACGAGATTACTGATAGATTAAATAGAATAGAACCTACTATTGAATTTAGCTATGAACTTGAATCTAATAATTCCTTACCTTTTTTAGACATATTACTCATTAAAAATAAAAATTAAATTAGAATTCAAAGTATATCGTAAACCTACATGTAAAATGACTATTTACATTTTTACTCTCACCATGATACTAACACTAAGAGGGGTATTGTTATTGGATTCTATTTGAGGGCTCTTCGCATCTGTTCATCAAAATATTTAAATGATGAATTTACATATATTGAGGATACCTTTTCAAATCTTTCGTATCCGAGACAATTATTACAGAGAGCTAAAAATAAAGCGTTGAAAATTCACTCATCAGCGCAAAATGACACCTCAAAGGCCACTACAACTAGATCAATGAAAGATACAATTTCAGCTACCTCTGATAATATTTCGTTTGGTCGCATCTTTTACCAAATAACCATTTGACCGAACGTATCTCTCATAATCTAAATGCATTAAAAATTAGAACTACTATATTACCTACTAGGACTATCCGTAGTTTATTAAATAGCACCAGCAGACAACATATTACATCCGATGCTTGCATCTATCAAATATCATGCAAAAAATTGTGACCTAAAATATGTGGGTGAAACAGGTAGGTCCTTAAAATCTCGTGTTTTCGAACATAAACGAGATATTGGTCTCGGTAATTTAACAATGCTTTAGTTGTACACACAACTAAAGCAGATCATAATTCGATTTCGATTCCGTGAAAAGTATTAAAATATTTTCATAATAAAAATCTCAGGAGGATTTATGAAGCAGGTATAATATCCATCTCACGCACGGTGAATACTAGACCTAGTTTCTTTAATATTTCCCTTTTTTTAGCGAGATTGATGCTCGACAAGCATACACATAAGAATTTTAGAACCTAATAGAATTCTTTTTCATTTTCTTTTTTCTTTTTCATTTCAAAATAATCACAAACTTTTAGGAATACGTTATGAAAGCGTCGCCCATGTGACGACAGCGTGACCATGTTAGACGGAAGGCTGATCATTTTAAAATTTTCAGTTATCTGTTTTGAATAAGACTTGTGTTTTATGTCCATCGTATTTGTCATATTGAACTGAATTGTATTTTGATGAATATTGTCTTGAAAAGGTTTATTAAACCGAAACGTCAGACGTCGACATTTCTTTCATTTTAACTACATTTAAGGATTTTGTTTGTTTTTTCAAAATTTCTTCATTCTGTCGGATTTATATCCATTTACACTTGCTTATATATATATATATATATATATATATATATATATATATATATATATATAAAAACTTTTATCTATGAACAGATAAAGGTTATTATATACAACAATTTATACATTAGTCATATATAGAAATGAATTCAACCACAACTTTGATCTAAAGAATGTTACACTTATTAAAAGAGAAAATAACTTATTCAGACGGAAAATTCTTGAGAGTGCCGCTATTGAATCTTATCAAAATATAAATCTGCGCTCCGGATTTTTTCAAATATCTCCTTTCCTGAAAGAATCACTTCTTTTCCAAGCCAACGTACATGACTAGATAACGGTTAAATGTATAATCTCATGTTATTTAAAATATATAACACATAAATTAATCCCAAATTAAAACAATTTTAATACTAATTTGCATTTTAAAAAAATTCAAGAATATCATTTACTCACTTTAGCTCATTAAACATAGAATTGTGTCACTTGGCGGCCTCCATAGTTTACCTAGATTTTTCGGCTAACTTGATTAATATTTATGAGGTTTCTTAAATTTAAAACTTTAAAAAAGTCCATTTGTTTACTTTTGTATATAAATATTTGTTGCAAAATAAAATCCTTTCATTTGCCTCGAGAACAGGAAGGAAGGAAATAAGTCGATGGGTAAAAACAGAAATAAGGAAACAATTTAAAATATGTGAAATGGAACAGAAAGAAAGAAAGATATTAAGGAAATTAAGGAAGAAGGAAAAATGATATTCTAGAAATAAATAAATTACAGAAAGAAAGCTCTTAAAGAAGCAAAAAAGAGCGAAAAAGTTAGAGTAATATATTGCATAACGAAAGAAAGAAAGAAAGAAAGAAAGAAAGAAAGAAAGCAAACAGGATAAAACTAAACAGAAGAGAAGAAGAAGATAACTCCAAAAAAAGTAAAAGAAAAAAGAAAGAAAGTGTATTCAAACTGAAAGAAGAAAGGACAAAGGTTAATAAGTCAATTGACAAAAATTAGGAAGGTAGGAAGGAAGAAAGAAAAGAAAGAAGAAAAGAAGGAGAAAACGATATATGTCGATTGAAAAAAGAAAAAGAAGGAAAAGGGGATCAAACAACAGAGAAATTGAATAGAAAGAACGAATGACAGAAGGAAGGAAGAATACGAAAAGAAAATATGTCGACTGAAAAATAGAAGAAAAGGATTAAACAACGTTGAAATTCAACAGAAGTAAAGAAGGAAGGAAGGAAGGTAGCAAAGAAGGAAGGTAGGATTTCGATAGACAATAAAAGAAGAAAAAGAAATAAAAAAATGAACGATACAGAATTAAACGAGTGAAATGGAATAGAAGGAAGGAAGGAAGGAAGGAAGGAAGGAAGGAAGGAAGGGAAACGAAGGAAGGAAGGAAGGAAGGAAGGAAGGAACGAACGAACGAACGAACGAAGGAAGAAAGGGAAACGAAGGAAGGAACGAACGAACGAACGAACGAACGAAGGAAGGGAAACGAAGGAAGGAAGGAAGGAAGAGGAAGGAACGAACGAACGAACGAACGAACGAGGGGGAGGAAGGAAAGAAGGAAGGAAGGAAGGAAGGAAGGAAGGAAACGAAGGAAGGAAGGAACGAACGAACGAACGAACGAACGAACGAAGGAAGAAAGGAAGGAAGGAAGGAAGGAAGGAAGGGAAACGAAGGAATGAAGGAAGGGAAACGAAGGAAGAAAGGAAGGAAGGAACGAACGAACGAACGAACGAAGGAAGGAAGGAAGGAAGGAAGGGAAACGAAGGAAGGAAGGAACGAACGAACGAACGAACGAACGAACGAAGGAAGGGAAACGAAGGAAGGGAAACGAAGGAAGGAACGAAGGAACGAACGAACGAACGAACGAGGGAAGGAAGGAAGGAAGGAAGGGAAACGAAGGAAGGAAGGAAGGATAACGAAGGAAGAAAGGAACGAACGAACGAACGAACGAACGAACGAGCGAAGGAAGGAAGGAAGGAAGGAAGGGAAACGAAGGAAGGAAGGAACGAACGAACGAACGAACGAACGAAGGGAAACGAAGGAAGGAAGGAAGGAAGGAACGAACGAACGAAGGAAGGGAAACGAAGGAACGAAGGAAGGAAGGAACGAACGAACGAACGAACGAGGAAGGAATGAAGGAAGGAAGGAAGGAAGGAAGGAAGGAAGGAAGGAAGGAAGGAAACGAAGGAAGGAAGGAAGGATAACGAAGGAAGAAAGGAACGAACGAACGAACGAACGAACGAACGAGCGAAGGAAGGAAGGAAGGAAGGAAGGGAAACGAAGGAAGGAAGGAACGAACGAACGAACGAACGAACGAAGGGAAACGAAGGAAGAAGGAAGGAAGGAACGAACGAACGAAGGAAGGGAACGAAGGAAGGAAGGAAGGAAGGAACGAACGAACGAACGAACGAGGGAAGGAATGAAGGAAGGAAGGAAGGAAGGAAGGAAGGAAGGAAGGAAGGAAGGAAGGAAGGAAGGAAGGGAAACGAAGGAAGGAAGGAAGGAAGGAAGGATAACGAAGGAAGAAAGGAACGAACGAAGGAAGGAAGGAAGGAAGGAAGGAAGGAAGGAAGGAAGGAAGGAAGGAAGGAAATGAATTCGATAGATGAAAAAAAAAACGCAATTAAAAGAGTTGGGTCATAGGGTTGTGGGTTCGTCACGGAAACAATCAAAATGATAAGAATCGCTTGAGAGGAGAATAATTTATATTAACTATGAAATCGGGAAAAACAAAGGGAAGAAAAGAAAATTAAGTCCGATTTCTACAAATGATTACAACGCACATTTAAAGCAGCGAAAAGCGACTTGATACACCGGGGATAAAGCAAATGGAGAATTTTTCTAGGAAAGGGTGACATTCATCAGAGTGTGCACTTCTGCACACGCCTGTCCCGCCGGGGGTGGGGGAAGCAAGAGAGGCAAGCGAGAATGATGTATCTAAATTGAAACACAATTACAGAAATAAATTACTGTTGATTTTCAAAGGTGAATCAACGGCCTGTCGGTAGAGGAGTCAGGGTCGGCATTAGCGGCTAGATTCAGAATAAGCGAAAAGGCATGAAACTGCAACAAACTACAATTGAAAGTACAATAAACTTTGCAATGATGATTACAGTAAAAAAGACATTTAATATTATAATGATGATGATGGTTGAATACCACTAATTCATTTTAATGTTAGTGATGATGAAAACGATTATTATTATTAGTAGTATAGTAGTAGTATTTTATTTCCTTTGATTTTTAGTGTATAATCATTTCTTTCCGGATCCCAACCAGAGACCTAAGATCAGAAATGGCGGTAATAAATTTTCCACTGGGAAGTTTTTGAGAAAAAAATACGAAACAAATAACACTTAAGATCATAGACAATTTAATAGATAAAGCTCTTTGTAAAGTGTAGACTGCACCTGTGAGTACACTGTGTGTGTGTGTGTGTGTGTGTGTTTCTTTAAGGCATGGGCTACCATGGATTCCTTCAATGACTTTGGAACCTTTGTCCAATCAATCCGAGGTCTCTAACTACAACTGGAATTTTTGATGTCCTCATGTGCCACGTTTTTGAGATTTTCGATTTCAAGGCCCTTGTATTTCGATAATATTATTATCATTATTATTATTATTTCTATTTTTGCTATGGTCACAAAACCTACCAAGTCTTTGAGAAGACCTAAGGCAGGTAGCAGTGTTTTGTTATGACTACATTTCATGATTTGTTTTTCTAACTGCCATAACATCACCAGCGTTACCTGAACAAAATTCTTCCTAGTGTGTGGTCTGTACTTATCAAGTCAATTTTTGTACTCCTCTTCATCTGGGATCTCCAGGGATTATATTATTATTATTATTATTATTATTATTATTGATGTTGCTGTTGTTTGTGTGTTATGTTTCCTGCTTTGTATTCTTTGGACCTGGGTTCAAACTATGGTCCTTAGGCCCTATAGGAGAATTGCCATTTAAGTGATAGCATATTTTTTTAGTATACGGGATGTTCCTAGTAGAACGATTCTCTTGGCAACTTGTATTTTGATCTTCCCTGCGCCACTGTTAGTAAAATTGCCCATTCCTTTTCTCACGAGGCCCAGAGCTCCGATTACTATTGGTACAGTCTTCATTCCCCACATCCAGGTCCTTGTATTTGGACAATTTCTCAGTAGTTTTTATAGAGGTGTTTCTCTCGGATGGTACGTAAGATGTCAGTAAGCATACACTTCTTGAATTTCTTGTCTTTTATCATATTATCAAGTAGTTGGCTTCTTCTTCTTCTTCTTCTTCTTCTTCTTCTTCTTCTTCTCATTACTATTATTATTGCTGTTGTTCTTATTGTTAATTCCTTTGATTTCTTTTGTATATTCCTTTCCTCCAGGGTCCCAACCAGAGACCTAAGGTCAGAAATGTAATCATGACATTTTCTATATAACATTCGTGTAAAAACAATTAACAACTAAAACGCCTACACATTTTACATAGATAAAGCCTTTCGTTGAGTGTATACTCTGTACGTGTGAGAAGCAATCCCTCCAGTGAATCTATCAGAACTTTTTTTCATCAAACCCAGGGCCCTAAACACAACCGGAATTATTGATTCCTTCATGACCCATATTTTTAGATTTCCACTTCAAGACCCTCGTATTTTGTTTATAATTTTTTGAAGATCTTCTAAGCTGCATTACAGTCTGCTGGTTCTGCCATATCAACAACAAAGAGGTTGGACTGAAAAGTTCATAGGCTTACTATGAAGAAGTCATGCTAGAACTGAAATTTTGCATGCATTAATTAACACCTGGTTCCAAGAACATCCAAGACAGTTACGGACATGAAGAAACCCAGGAGGCGAAACTAGAAACAAAATCGCCAAAATAACTATCAACAAGAAATTCAGGAATGCAGTCGTTCTCTGCAAAACCAGCGGAAGCGACAAACTCCGTTATATGCAAACACAGAATGAATCTACAGAAACTGAAGAATCCTAACACAGCATCCAAATTGCCGTACAATAGACTCCTGATCGACCCGAACCTGAAGGAAAAATATATGGACAGTGTGAAAAGAGGGAAGGTTATAATGTTAGCATATCTTCCAACGAATCTATTGTCCTGCTCTTCCAAGACACAAAGTAAAGCAACATCACTTTCTAGAATTGGTGGTGTTATTTGATGACTCCAACCACAGGATTATATAAGCAGATGGAGATAAAAGTGAAACAGTTGGATTGATATTAGCTCAAGGCATCACGGACAGCGTACTGGTATACTGCCAGTTATCTGGAAGAATTCTTGAAGTTAAACTGAAAGGAAAGACTTTCAACATGTTTATTATAATTGTATATGCGCCGTCAGCACAAAGCACGGAGGAAAAATTGAATCTTTCTACTCCATGAAACGCAGCACCCAAATTACAATACAACAAATTGAACGACTCAGACCTGAAGGAAAAATATATGGACAGTTTGAAAAGAAGATACGAGGGACGAAATGGAAATAGAAATTCGAAGTGGGGTACATTAGGAGAAGCTTTAGTGACATCAGCAAATGAGATCAAATGAAAAGAAAATGGACGAAAAGGAAAACAAAAATTAATGGATGACAAGTGAGATTCTCGACATGAAGCAAAGCTGACAGCAAACAAGGCCAAGACACGGAACGGACCACAGAAAACTACACAAAGAAATAAAGAGGAAATGCAGAGAGACTAAAGAGGCATGGCTCAACGAAAATTGTGCAGAAATAGAAAGAATGAGTATCACAGATAAAGGAAATATGCATAAAGGAATATAAGAGAACTAATAGAACAAAAGCCATGTTTATCAACAGACTGCATAAAATCCAACGGGACACTGATATTATAGAAAGGAAAAATACTTCATGGGTGAAAAGCATGTATCGGAGAACTCTTCCACAACGAAATAGAACAATCGGCAATACACAGAAATATCGACAAACCGGAATTTGAAGAATTCTAACGCAGCACCTAAATTGCAATACAATAGACTCTTGAATGACCAGAATCTGAAGGAAAAATCTATGGACAGTGTGAAAAGAGGGAAGGTTATATTGTTAACATATCTTCCAGCTCACCAATTGCCCTGCTCTTCCAAGACACAAAGTAAAGCAACATCATACTCTAGAACTGGCGGTGTTATTTGATGACTCCAACCACAGGATTATATAAGCAGATGGAGATAAAAGTGAAGCAGTTGGATTGATATTAGCTCAAGGCATCACGGACAGCGTACTGGGATACTGTCAGTTATCTGAAAGAATTCTTGAAGTAAAACTGAAAGGAAAGACTTTCAACATGTTTATTATAATCGTATATGTGCCGTCAGCACAAAGCACGGAGGAAAATTGAATCTTTCTACTCCATGAAACGCAGCACCCAAATTACAATACAGCAGACTGAACGACTCAGACCTGAAGGAAAAAATATATGGACAGTTTGAAAAGAAGATACGAGGGACGAAATGGAAATAGAAATTCGAAGTGGGGTACATTAGGAGAATCTTTAAGGACATCAGCAAATGAGATCAAATGAAAAGAAAATTAATGGATGACAAGTGAGATTCTCGACATGAAGCAAAGCTGACAGGAAACAAGGCCAAGACACGGAACGGACCACAGAAAACTACACAAAGAAATAAAGAAGAAATGCAGAGAGACTAAAGAGGCATGTCTCAACGAACTGGTGGTGTTATTTGATGACTCCAACCACAGGATTATATAAGCAGATGGAGATAAAAGTGAAGCAGTTAGATTGATATTAGCTCAAGGCATCACGGACAGCGTACTGGAATACTGTCAGTTATCTGAAAGAATTCTTGAAATTAAAGTGAAAGGAAAGACTTTCAACATACCTATTATAATCGTTTATGCACCGACAGCACAATGCACGGAGGAAAAAAATTGAAGCTTTCTACTCCATGAAACGCAGCACCTAAATACAATAGACTGAACGACTCAGACCTGAAGGAAAATATATGGACAGTGTGAAAAGAGGGAAGGTTATAATGTTAGTATATCTTCCAGCGCACCAAATGCCCTGCTCGTTCAAGTCAAGTTTGTCTGTGTACAAAAATGATACATGATCTTTTTATTCCTTAAAATAGGCGTCAGGGAATATTTTCTCGCTTACACTCTTCCGTTTGTGCTTCCATCCTTCTGCTCTGCAACCTCTGAAGAGTTCGAGTTTTGTCCATATCTGAGTCATGTGATTAGCATTAGGTATCATCTTTTTTTTTACCTGCTTGGTTTGGTCCTGAAGTAGATTTCTATTTCTTTTTAATTATTTACAAAAATGACATGATTTATTTTATTGATTCCTTAAAATAGGCGACAGGTGACATCTTGCCAGCAAGTTTTGATCTTGAGCTTCTCGGATAAACCCTTCCGTTTCTGGTTCCAGAATCGCAACCCGAAGGCCCTGGTGGGTTTTAAATTTTGTCGATATCACGATCATGTACTGGCAGTAGTTATCGACAATGAAAGGATTTTTTTTTCTATTCGGTTTCTACGTTGTTTTAACCCTGAACGTTTGCTCGCTTTTGGGCCCCTTTTATTTTTATTTTTCCTTTTCTTTTTGATCGTTTAGTTGACGATCATGAATTTCTTTCTTTCCTCCTCCCTCATTTGGTGTTCTTTTCTCTTGGTTTTCATATTGGTCAGGCACTTAATACTTGATTCTTTTACTACTATTTGCCCCCTTTCATTTTGATCATTTGATCTCATATATATATATTTTTTTAAATTTTTCTTTTTTTCCTAATTTCTTTCTTTTTATCTATCTATCTATCTATCTATCTATCTATCTATCTATCTATCTATCTATCTTTTTCTTTCTTTCTTCCTTTCTTTCCATATATTTTTCTTTCTTTTCGTAATATATTTGTTTCTTTCTGAAATATTTTTCTTTAATTTCTGAAATATTGTAATTCTTATTTATCGTTTTTTTTTCTGTAATATTTCTTTTCGTTATACTTCGAGACTTCTACCCCCCCACACACACACACTCTGCCCACTTCTCTAAAATAAAAAAAATATCTAATAAATAGAAACGGTAAATTAAGGTTAACCCTTTCCAGTCAGACCAGCCAAATCCTGCTGACCAAAGACGATATTTTATTCCTTTGGTCTCCCACGGAATGTCCAAATATTCCTGAGCTAAAGTATTTCTCGTCTCAGCAGACCGCTGCCAAAATATCTCTTCTTATACAGAGGTCGCCCCGAATAGATAAACTGAAATATTTCCCAAAATAGAGACAGTATTGCTCCATGACAGAATGCATGGTCATCAGTAAAAGAAATAGAATTCGTGGTCATCAGTCATCAGTAAAAGGATGAGACCAAAATGCCATTTGCAGATTGGTAACACTAGAATCAAGCAGACGCGGAAGTTTAAATATCAGGGAAGCGTCTTGACAGAAGACGGTAAGTGCGACACTGAGATCCGTAAGCCTATTGGGATGGCCAAGGACCCATTCCAAAAGCTATGCAGAGTATTGCGAGACAAGAGGGTTTCTTTGGTAACAAAGAAAAAAATACTGAACTGTCCGTCCTTCTTTATGGCAGCTAATATTGGGCGATTTCCTCAAAGGGAACACTAGAATCAGTCGGAAGTTTCAAGATCTGCGAAGCGTCTTGAGAGAAAATGGTAAGTTCGATAGTGAGATCCGTAAGCGTATTGAGATGGCCAAAGACGCATTCCAAAACCTATGCAGAGTATTGCGAGACAAGAGGATTTCTTTGTGAACAAAGAAATGAATACTAGGCTGTTACGCGACATCTGTCTTCCTTTATGGCAGCGAATGTTTGACGGTCTCCTCAAAGATGCAGAAGAGACTCGAGGCGACGGGGATGTGGTTCTACAGAAGGATGCTAAGGATATCATAAACCGAGCGTGTGAGCAACGATGAGGGATGAAGGAACGATCTGGAAAGTGTTCTGACAGAGGACCGTCAACGCGACGCTGAGATCCAAAGACGTAATGGGATGGCCAAAGACGCATTCCAAAAGCTAGGTAGAGTATTACGAGACAGGAAGATATTTTTGGTAACAAAGATAAGAGTAGTGAACTGATACGTGACATCTGTCCTCTTTTACGACAGCGAATGTTGGACGGTCTCCTCAAAGATGAAGAAGAGACTCGAGGCAACGGAGGTATTGTTCTACAGAAGGATGCTAAGGATATTATGGCCCGAGCGTGTGAGCAACGAGGTTTAAAGAGGATGCAAATAAGGAGGAGGCTTATACTTAACATCAGGAAGAGACAGCTGAACTTCCTCGGACACATAATGAGAAAGAAGGGCCTGGAGAATCTGATACTCACGGGTCGAATAAAGGGAAAGAGAGTCAAGGGAACACAACGCATGACATGCCTAACTGCTTTAAGCAAGTGGATGATAGAACATTGTCTGGGGTAGGTGACAGTGGAAAGGAACTTGTTGAGAGCTGCAATGGATAGAGGGAGGTGGACACGGACACTGCACATAGAAAGAAGTGCTATATGTTTTCGTCCTGCCTCATTTGTAGAAATAGATCCAGCCGGATTATATATGTGACGTAATATGTAAAGATGTTGTGTAGCTGTGGCAAACAAGGACGGTAAGCACATAATGAGAGGGAAATATTCCACTTCAAAGCTGCTTACATTCACCCGATTAACCATCATACTGTTTTTCTTACGTATCATTTCATGGGATTTCTTTACATTTTGGCAATTCAGTTGAGTTCGCGAATTAAATTAACATTTGAGTGGCCTTAACCTCCATTTGGTATGGGTTAGCAAATAATAAGACATAAAGTAAGAAAAGAAATACGGATTTCAAATCTAAAATTCTCCAAAAAAGAGAAACAAATCTTGTTCTTCAAAAGAAATACTATTTGCAACGCCGAAACGAACTAGGAAAAGCAAATAAAAATGCCAAAGGTCAGGAGACAAGTAAAAATCTCCTATGGCAAATCAGATTTGGTAAAATAATTGAGACGCTTTTCATCTCGAGGAAACGAAAATTTAAACTCGTGTTAATTTGCTAAATAAACAGCGTGATTTTCCAGGTTTTAAATTTGCAGAAAATTACAACGTTTTCGTCATGAGCCTCTGGGGAACGAGAAAGGGTGAATAATATTGGGGGTAAAAAAAAAAGAAATGGGGAAGATGAGAACGAGAAAGAAGAAGAAGAAGAAGAAGAAGAAGAAGAAGAAGAAGAAGAAGAAGTAATACAAAGGGGAAGGGAAATAAAAGTAACGTGGTGAAGGAAAAAGGGTGTAGAAATAAAAGTAGGAAATAAGAAAAGAACTCGGGAAATAAAAAAGGAAAGAGAAGGATAGGTAGAGAGATATAGAAGAAAAAGAGAAAGAGAGAAATAAAGGAAGTAGGAGTGAAGAACCTAGAAGTCGAGGTAAGAGGAAAGTGAACGGTGACAAAACAGAAGAAAAAAATACTGTTAATAATTCTTGTAGTAATTCCTGACCGCTGACAATCCCTTCATGATTTTCACTGAATTTTAATGAGAACATAATTAGCAACTCTATGGATAGCGGCTTGGATTGAGAAATTGGAGAGCCGAGTTCGAATTCCATTCGAATCCATTACATTCACTTACGTGCTAATACCCTTGGGGAAGGTATGAATCCTCTTCTTTTACCCCCAGTTATGGGTAAATAGCAGGACAAACCAGGTTCTTTAGCCTTGGATGGCCACTGGTCTACAGAAGAAAGAAATGGCAACCTACTACTGAAAAAAGGAGTAATGGATAGCGAGCGGCTCAGATTGAGGAATCGGAGTGCCAAGTTCGAATTCCAGTCAAATCCATTACTTTCACTTATATGCTAATACCCTTGGGAAATATATGAATCCTCTTCTTCTCTCCTCCCAGCTACAGATAAATAGCAGGAGAGGCCGCGTTCTATAGACTTGGATGGCAAATGGTCTACCGCAGAAAGAAATGGCAACCTACTGCGGGAATAGGGGGTAATGGATAGCGGCTCGGATTAAGGAATCGGAGAGCCGAGTTCGAATTCCAGTCAAATCCATTACATTCACTCACGTGCTAATACCCTGGGGAAAGGTATGAATCCTGTTCTTCTCACTCCACCCAACTTTGAGTAAATAGCACGACAGACCGGGTTATATAGACTTGGATGGCAACTGGTCTCCCGCAGAAAGAAATGGCAACCTATTGCGGGTAAAAAATCTGCCTTGTCAGTCATGTATCGAAAGATACATGATCGCCTCAGTGTGTATCACACATGACACATAACTGATTGAATTCTAACCACTATTCTTGATCCTGTACATGATATATCCTTTAAAGATGTAGATGATCATGGCTCTCCACAACATCCTGTCTTTTGTAACTCTAAGTAATACTAGATTTTCATTATTCTATAATTCTTATTATTCTTTTATTCTTGTACTGTCTATCTTGGTCGTTGTAGTCGTTGTTAATAAAAATATATTCTTCTTCTATATGCCATGTCCTTTCATGACATGAAGATCATGGCTCTCCATAATGTCCTATCTTTTTGTTATATACCTTACCTATGAACACTAATGGGTATGTCCCAATCCTCATAAATACTTTGGACACTATTGTAAGTGGGGGTAATATGGTGTCTACGTAGTCCACTACAAGCAGTGGTTTACCTATTTCACGCCGCTGGCGAGTATTGTATTTTGTTGATGTTATAAAGATTACCATTTCATTTCCAACCTCCATTTTGTTTATTCCTCATTCAGTAACCCTTTCTAGGTTACAACACATTTATTGATCGAGAAAACGCTTATCCCTTTAATATCTTTTGGTTCATGTTGATAAAAGCTATTTCTTTTGCTTTGGCATCAAAGCTCTCTACAGCTTCCTAACTCTACTCCATTTACCATCCTTTTTTGTCTTAGTAAACCTTGTTATGTCATCCGTTCAAACTGTTCAAATAGGTTTCAATATGCCACGTGAGCGTTACATTTTCCAAGCCTTCTTTCTTCGGAAATTTAAGACGTCTCTACCAATTCATTTGGTTGAGTGATTGGTTAATTGTTAGTGCTTAGCGGCGTATCATCATCTCTATAGGTTATTCAATGCCGAAATTTAAACATTTTATACGCATTTTTATAGATAATAATGGTTTTAGTGATACAAGTCTGTTACTAATTAACCCATAGTTGGGGAGAAGAGGTGTATTCATACCTTTCCCAAGGATATTTGCACGTAAGTGAATATAACCAACCCAACTCGAATTAGAACTCGGCTCTCCGGATTAACATTTCCGAGCCATTATCCAAGCTGATATTTACAAGAGTTCACCCATATAGGTACTAACCAGGCTCGATGTTGCTTTACTTTTAAATGATTTAGTGATACATGTCTAAGTAATTAACCCATAGCTGGGGGAGAAGAGGTGTATTCATACCTTTCCCAAGGTTATTTAAACGTAAGTGAATATAACCAACCCAACTTGAATTTGAACTCCGATTAGCAATTTCAAGCCATTATCAATTACACCAGTCGCACATCCAAGCTTACAAGCTAATTCTCAAGCGGTCACTCATCAAGGTACTGACCAGACTAGACGTTGCTTAACTTCGGGGATCGTATGATAACCGGTGTTTCAACGCGACGTGGCCGTAACCCCGCTGACAATTCACTTTTCTTTTCTTTTTTTTTAAGCAATTCACCCCAGTCAAGGAGAGAGCGCCACTAGTATGCACGGGGTTACAGGGAGTGAAAGTGAGCGAAAAGACTGGGTATAGGTGGGGGATGAAGGAAAGGATAAAAAGAAGAACGAGAACCAAGACGTCAGAAGATGTCGATTGACATTACATTTGAATATTTGAAGATTATAGCTAACAGAGAAGCAAGTAAGAGGAAGGGAGTTTCACTGTCGGGAAGTGGAAGAGAAGAAGCTGTTGGAGTAGAAGAGGCAGTTACATTTAACTATTTCGACAGTAAAATGGTGGGATCGAGATACCAAATTGCAAAGGAGCTTATTATAAGAACGCGAGGCAAATTCGCAAGAGAGCATTGTCAGGGGTCAGGAAGTCATGTAAATAACAGATAGAATAGGGTTATTATTTTATTTTATATACAATGTTATCTATGGTGGATTCAGGGTTTCCCAACCTTTTTTTGCGTCATCGCCCACCTTTCACATCGAAAGATTTTCCACCTCCCACTTGTATAATAAATATTTAAAAAATACAGTGATAGGTAAATTATATTTTGGCGGACACTTTTCCGGCCTTGATAATTTCGAGATGGACAGCGTGATATAAAAAAAAAGGAAAAACAATTTTATATTATAACTAAGCAATTCATTTTGTCCAGAAGAAACCTCAACAGAATGTAGAAAGCACTGGACGGCCGTTTCGTCCTATATTTGGGACTCATTAGCAGTGGGCATCCACTACTGAGAATTGAAACCCGGACAGTTACGTTATCAGGCAAACGTCATACCAACTGTACCAACGGCCCTCGGTGACGAAAAGGTAGCGAATTAGACTTGATATAGCGCCTATCGATCACATATTCCGTTGTGAAACTCATCCGAGTTTCTCTTTTACCCATAGGACTGTGAAAGCCACGACTCATATCCCCAAGCCGCTCCATCCACAGCATTAGAAGCCGGTTCAAGCAAGGATATACAAGTGATAGAAATTAGGATAGATTTGAGATAATTATACTTAAGTAATTCATCGAGTCTAATAGTAACGTCAACAGAATGCAGAAAGCACTGGACGGCCGTTTCGTTCTATATTTGGGACTCATCAGCAGTGCGCATCCACTACCGAGAATTGAAACCCGGACAGTTACATTGACAGTCAAACGTTATACCAACTGTTCCAAAAAATAAAATTATCCTGAGGATAGGATTTTACTAACAAAATTTACTTAATGTTCCTTTTATCCAAAAAAAAAAGTCATTTCGGTTTAAATGTTAATGACCCTGCTGAAAAATATAGAAAATACCCAAATATTTATGATGTATAAAAATAACAAAGGGAGGTAACAAATAATCACGACTTCTGCGCCAGCTGCTGCTGCTACTGCTGTAATAAAGAACAAACGAAAGACAAATTGACCATTGAAAAGTATATATGCAATTCAGTTTTATGGTAAAGGTTAGGTTAATGGATACGGTTATCATTCCAAGGGTTGATAAAAAATTAAACGATGTTTGTTTATAATTATTAAATTAAAAACAATAAACATGACTAACAATTTGTTTGTACTTGGTCTTCTCTTATCGGATTGAGATAGATAGATAGATAGATAGATAGATAGATAGATAGATAGATAGATAGATAGATGAATATAAACAGAATGAGATAGATAGATGATAGATAGATAGATAGATAGATGAATGGATGAATGATGGATGGATAGATGAATGGTGAACAGAATAGGATAACTAGCTAGCAGGATAGATGAATGGATAGATAGATAGATAGATAGATAGATAGATATATAGATAGATGAATAAATAGATAGATAGATGAATGGTGAACAGAATAGGATAGCTAGCTAAAATGGATAGATATGAATAGATGGATAGATGAATAGATAGATAGATAGATAGATAGATGACAGAATAGGATACTAGCTAGCTGGTTAGATAGATAGATGGATAGATGAATGGATGAATGAATGAATGATAGATGGATAGATGAATGGAATTGATAGATAGATGGATGGATAGATACTGAATGGACATAGATAGATAGATAGATAGATAGATGAATAGATAGATAGATAGATAGATAGATAGATAGTGAACAGAATAGGATAGCTAGCTAGCTGGATAGATAGATAGATAGATAGATAGATAGATAGATAGATAGATAGATAGATAGATAGATAGATAGATAGAATCTATTTTCGGGTGTATGATAAAATTTGTTTGGCCTCGAAAATTATTGTGTCATCCGTGATTGCATCAGATTTTCATCTCGCCCAAACACTATTGTCTCGACTTTCGATTAGTTGTCCTACGGCCATTGTCTGCTATGGGCGTTACTCCAAGGAGGCGTACGAAAATTGTAATACAGCACGATCACACAGGCAAGACTTACCATTGATACTTACCAAATACTACAGATTGGCCCGGAAACTCTCCTGATTTAAATCCAATCGAGAATCTGTGATCAGTATGCAAGGAAAGGCGTGGAATGAGCATACGAAGTAGTAACATGTACACTGGGTCATGTTTCATTGGAAAATTACGAAAGAAAATTAGATAATAACGGAATTATTTGTTTTGTTTCAATAAATTTGCACAAGGGTTTATATTCATGACAAAATATATCAGCGCCCAATAGTTACTTTATTTCTAAACAATAAAATGAATAAAAGTTACTTTTATGTTTGTAATATAGTAGAAAAACTCTAAGTAGAAGCTGATAATGCTTTATTTGACCAATTCTGCTTTAGTGCTAATAAACGTTTACTTTTTTTTTGCGACAGATGTGAGAAGAGAGATTTGATGTGCTTATTTTATCAACACAATGTTTATTTTCTTTCCGAATATTTTTGTTCCAGGGTCCATAGTTCCGTTATGACTTGTGTTTCATTAAAACTGTTTTAACACGGATAATTAATTCAAAGATTAAACTACACATAACTTTATGTACAGTCTTGTTAACGATGTAGGAATTGATAGAACCGAAGTCCCGCGAAATTACATATAATATCTCATAAGACCTTAGTAAAGAAAAAGATTATGCCAGCATAAAGAGGATTAAGTTTTTTAGAACTAAATGAATTATACTCTTAATATCTAATTTTGTTTTTCTTTGAAATTCTTAAGTCGACGACAGGAGTGAAGCATTGAAAAACCCAAACCAAAACTAAAAATCTTCGTTCCTATGGGAACGACGTGACTCGAAATAGTCCACCAGTTCTGATCTGTTCTATCACTTGGCCTGAATTAATAAACACCAGCATTGAGAAATGGATTGAAAAAGCAAGAAAAAAAAAGATTTTAGTTGTCAGGAATTAATACAAGATTTATTTAGAGAATAAGGCAATTATATGGTATGTACCGTTACAGACATTCTATAAAAAAAAAATCAAAAACGCATTATGAATAAATAAAATGTTTTCATTATTTACATTATTCGGACTATTATCCTCATCTTTGTCGCCATATTTATCACAATGTTTCGGCCTTTCAGTATCTGTCTATATTTCTGAGATGAGGTATTATGTACACTATTTACATTATTCGAACTATTGTCCTCATCTTTGTCATCATATTTCTCACAATGTTTCGGCCTTTTAGTATCTGTCTATATTTCTGAGATGAGGTATTATGTACACTATTTACATTATTCGGACTATTGTCCTCATCTCTGTCACCATATTTATCACAACGTTTCAGCCTTTCAGTATATGTCCATATTTCTGAGATGAGGTATTATGTACATTATTTACATTATTCGGACTATTGTTCTCATCTTTGTCGCCATATTTATCACAACATTTCGGCCTTTTAGTATCTGTCCATATTTCTGAGATGATATATTATGTACACTATTTACATTATTCGAACTATTGTCCTCATCTCTGTCACGATATTTATCACAACGTTTTGGCCTTTCAGTATCTGTCTATATTTCTGAGATGATATATTATGTACATTATTTACATTATTCGGACTATTGTTCTCATCTTTGTCGCCATATTTATCACAACGTTTCGGCCTTCTCATCTGTCTGTATTTCTGAGATGATTTATATACACATTTACATTATTCGGACTATATCATCTTTGTCGCCATATTTATTACATTTCGGCCTTTCAGTCTATATTTCTGAGATGAGGTATTATATACATTATTTACATTATTCGGACTATTGTCCTCATCTTTGTCGCCATATCTATTACAACAATTCGGCCGTTGAACGCTCCGGCCTTCTTCAGGTGGTTGTAATGTCGAACTGAACTCTTTAAGCTGTAACACAGGGGTAAGTGGAAAAATCAGGCGTGGCTGGCCACATATGGAGAGAAGAAGGGAGATCACCGCCCCCCCTGTGGGATCAAGTTGAGATCATAGACAAAGAACACCGCTGGAAAATTCGTAAACTTAAAGAATCAGCACATATGCTAGGCCACAAAAATCTCCTGAGCCGACCAAGCATAGAAATGAATACAATATGAGAACCAGTAATAAGGAGTGCCAGAGAAAAGCGATAATAACAACAAAAATTGCAATATGAGCTCTGGTAAAAACATGATATTATAACAGCAAAAATTGCAATATTAGTACTGGTAAAAAATGATGCTGAAGACATTAGGTTTATAATACCCAGAAATTCATACACAGATGTCCTCAAGGACACCTGACACAGTGGATAAAAGCGTTAGTTAGATCCAGTGACAGGACCCAAAGAGTGTGAGTTCAATACCTGTTTAAGGCGGTGGAGAACTTTTAGAGGGAAATTAACAGGAGATAACTAATAACTGACATCCATTAAACATGGCACGTGGAACTAGAACAGTCTACCCCAGTGAGCGAAATAAAGGGTTCAGTTCGACATTCCAACCACCTGAAGAAGGCCGGAGCGTACATTACAATAAATGAAACATTGTAATAAATATGGCAACAAAGATGAGGACAATAGTACAAATAATGTACATAATACCTCATCTCAGAAATATAGACAGATACTAAAACGTTAATTTTTGTTTTTATTTGAAATATAATAGCCAAAAACTAATCCATATTAATAAAAGAAAAATTATTCACCGAATGTAATTAAAGATTTAAGCATTTTTAAAACTTTGGCCCGTTCGCTCATCGACCCGCCATTATTGACGAAAAATTTAGACAACAAATTTAAATTTCTCTTTAAAATCCAATATTTTTCCTACAGATCTGTTTAGAAGTTACCTAGTAAATTTAAAAATAATGTTTACTTTTTACTTGAAACTTTAAAAAAAAAATAACGTTTATTTATGCGCACCAGACTGTGTGGTTACAAACAAAACCGTATAATTAAACGCCTGGTTTAAAAAGCGCGCGAAAAATAAAAAAAATAAAATTAAAGAAACTTAGAACACCAGCAGTTTAATAATGACGAAATTGATATTTATGCTTAAGAATTATCTTAAACTTTAAATAACCAATAGTTTAAGCATATAATGTAATATTTTATACCCTTTTATCAAACTTAGAAGAATAAATAATTTCCAGTAAACTTGGATGGTCACCTAAATGGTTTGACTGATAGGAACATGGATTTTTATGTTGAGTCATTACACTATAATGTTAGCTATCTAATTCAGCCTTTTATATGATGTAATCTCAGTACTTAGCTGTTGCAAGTATTTCCAACACTACAAACCTTCCTGGAGCCGAGCCACAAGTTTAAACATGATCTGTTTACTTGGCAGCGGCGGGGGCCTTTCTGCTCTTGACTAGTATGTTGTTGCCATACAAACAAAATCGGACGAGTGATTAATGTAAACAATACGATGACGCCAGAATGTGAGGGACGCATTTTGAATCTGTTGTTGTACAAGAATGATTTTTTCTTTTCTTAGAAATTTCTTTCTAATATTAGGGTGCGTCTTCCAAGCCGCAGCATCTTGTAAGCCGGAAAATACAATAGTTTTTTTTTTTTTTTTAATTACATGGTACTTTTGAATTTAATTTACTGCTTGTATTTTTTTTTATAATTTTCTTACATATTACATGCCATGAAATATATAATTGCACAAAATGTGATTTTTTTTAAAATAATTCTGAATTTAAAAAAATGTATTGGGTTGGTGCATAATTATCAGGCGTTTTTTAAACAATTTTACTATGAAAAAAGAAGCAACAATTCAACAATAACATTTTTAAAAGATTATTCCGAAGCGTATGATTATCGACACGCATTTTTATAACCTGAAAATAAAATAATATTTTTATTAAAATAAGTAAACAAAACAGCATTTTTTTAACATTTAACTCGCCTACAAAAACGCCTGATAATTATACACCAACTGAGACTGACATTGTTGCTACGAACAGAAAAAAGTTAATCAAAATTGATAAAGAGTTATTGAACTGATAATGTTAATTGACTGCGTTCACGTTCTTCATAATGATTAACTGCCATCCAAGTGACGACTTTATGTTTATTTTAGCTTAAGAATACAATTTTCTATTCTGTATGATTTATGAAACTTTTTAAATCAGGATTATTTATCTTTTTTTATATCCATACAAAAAATATCTGAGTTGCTAAAAGGAAAAAATAAAATAAAAATAAAATTCTTTTAGAAAAGATTTGCACTTGAAAATGGCATAAAACTTTACACCTTTCGATTCTTTTTATAAGAAAAGAAACTTTTATGTCGAGCAAAAAAAAAAGGGGGATGAATTTCAAAATCACACTGACATATGAGTACTCAATTTTTTTGTAAAATAAATATTAACTATAGTTTTTTTTTAAATTTTTCGTCTCTTCTGAAAAAAAAAATATCCGTCCTGGGTATGACGATAAACTACATCCGCCTCCTGGGTAAGACAATAAACTACATCCGCGTCCTGAGTATGATGATAAACTACATCCGCCTCCTGGGTAAGACGATAAACTATATCCGCGTTCTGGGTATGACAATAAACTACATCCACGTCCTGAGTATGATGACAAACTAAATCCGCGTTCAGGGTATGACGACAAACTACATCCGCGTCCTGAGTATGATGATAAACTACATCCGCCTCCTGGGTAAGACGATAAACTATATCCGCGTTCTGGGTATGACAATAAACTACATCCACGTCCTGAGTATGATGACAAACTAAATCCGCGTTCAGGGTATGACGACAAACTACATCCGCGTCCTGGTATGATGATAAACTACATCCGCCTCCTGGGTAAGACGATAAACTATATCCGCGTTCTGGGTATGACAATAAAAGTACATCCAAGTCCTGAGTATGATGACAAACTAAATCCGCGTTCAGGGTATGACTACAAACTACATCCGCGTCCTGAGTATGATGATAAACTACATCCGCCTACTGGGTAAGATGATAAACTATATCCGCGTTCTGGGTATGACAATAAACTACATCCACGTCCTGAGTATGATGATAAACTACATCCACGTCCTGAGTATGATGATAAACTACATCTGCGTCCTGAGTATGACGATAAACTACATCACCGTCCTGAGTATGACGATAAACAACAACCGCGTCTTTAGTATGACGATAAACTACATCCGCGTCCTGGGTATGATGATAAACTACCTCCGCGTCCTGGGTAAGGCTATAAACTACATCCAACAGCAAGGGCTCTGATCAGAAGCTTTTGAGGAGCGTGAAACCAACTCTTAATTGCTAGCGTTCCTAGGGTAGTAGCATCTGTTAGGATCCCAGCTATGTGCAAATATGTATTACTAGCAATACATTTTTTGAAAAAATATTTCCAGCAAAAAAAAAATCTTGTTGGCATTAAATAACTCATTGAGATTGATATGCCGTAAAACAAACCAAACCAATACATACTAACATAGATAGATAGATAGATAAAAAATGTTACCATCAAAAAAAAATCTTGACGGCATTATATAACCCATTGAGGTTGATATACCGTAAAAAAACCAAACCAAACCTAAAATAACGTTTTATTAAATTATGCAAACATCAATTCTCAAAAATCATTTTATGCTTTTCTTTTGAATTATTTTTCGTAAGACTCGGGACACTTGACATTGTATAATTTTTGTTTTACTGAAGTAAAATTAGTTACATATGCTAGGCCACAAAAATCTCCTGAGCCAATCAAGCATAGAAATGAATACAATATGGGAACCAGTAATAAGGAGTGCCAGAGAAAAGTGCTAATAACTAAACTTGCAATATGAGCACTGGTAAAAAAAATAATTGCTGATAGGTTTACAATACCCAGAAAATCATACAGACATGTCGTCAAGGACACATGGCACAGTGGATGAAGGCGTTGGTTTGATCCAGTAACAGTACCCAAAAAGTGTGAGTTTAATCCATTAAATAGCGAAATAAAGGGTTCAGCTGGTCATTCCAACCACCTGAAGAAGGCCGAAACGTTGTAATAAATATGGCAACAAAGATGAGGCCAATAGTTCGAATAATGTAAATAGTGTACATAATACCTCATCTCAGATATATAGACAGATACTGAAGTAACATATTCAGGAATTTTTCTGTAAATAACTGTAAAACTTTTAATTAAATCACAGTTATAATTTGTGGAGAAAAATGAAGCATTTCAGCATTACTCAATGATCTTACCGGTGTGACCTCCATCTTCTGACTTTCTCCTTCTATATTTTAGATAGAGTCGTTCCCTTGTTCAAATTTAAATTTAATTTAAATCAAAGGCAAAAAAACAATCATGAGGTGCTCAAAAACAGCTCTATCTGACCACTTTAATATATACTTGATTGAATGAATTGATGAGCACATTTCAACATTGATATTACAGTTGAATTGTCACAACAAATAAGCATTGTAAGGCACTACCCGTTGATTGGTGACTTCTTGCTAAATTTGACATCCATATTGTCTCATTTTGATATTTCTGGTGTAACCTCCATATTCTGGCTTTCTCCTTCTATATTTTGTTTAAATTTAAATTTAATTTAAATCAAACGGAAACATTATTAGTGGGGATTTGTGTCCCCCGAGGACACCCTTCGATCAAAATGAAATATACTTATCCATGTATTCTAGGAGTCATCTCCTTGTTTAAATTTAATTTTAATTTATATCAAAGGGGACAAAATCTCCAGTAGGGGGTTTGTGTCCACCCCGGGGGACCTCCTTTTATTAAAAGGATCTTGGCAATGGGACCCCCATCTTCTGGCTTTCTCCTTCTATATTTTGAAGAGGACTCATTCCCTTGTTTAAATTCAAATTTAATTTAAATCAAAGGGGGAAAAAATCAGTGGGGGGGGCGTCCCATGGACCCTCTCTTATCAAAATGAAATATACTTATCCAAGTATCATAAGAGTCATTCCTTGTCCAAATTTAAATTTAATTTATATCAAAGGGGAAAACATTCAGTGTGTATGTGGGGGCGGGGGCGGGGGCGTTGACCCCCTTTGATCAAAATGAAATATACTTATCCATGTACACTGGGTAATCTACTTTCAGAATATATATGATTATGGGAGGCGATCTCCCAAAACTTAAGAGGATTTCGATAATAAACAACCAGACAGACAGTGGCTACAACTTTATATATAGAGATTACACAAATATGCATCATACTTATTATAAAACCCAGGTTGTGTGTGTGTGTGTGTGCGTCTGTTCGTTTATATATTGGATCGGATTTCCTACATTTTTCAACCGATTTCAACAAAACTTCACAGGACTACGTAAAATTACCTTGCGGTGGTTCTGACAGCGCCAAAAATTGGGAAAGCGCAATTGTTTTTGCACGAAATCAATTTGAAAACACTAGTAAGTGCCATCGCTGACGCGAGAATGAAAGGGGGACAACTCATATCGAGTTATACTTATTATAAAACCCAGGTTGTGTGTGTGTGTGTGTGTGTGTGTGTGTGTGTGTTCGTTTATATATGGGATCGGATTTCCTACATTTTTCAACCAGTTTCAACAAATCATCACTTTTTTTGGGGAAGGTAGTGTTTCTTATTGTCTTGCACACTTTTTTCTTTATTTTTACATTCAGAATGCTTTAAAAATTCCATTTACAGGACAATTGTTTATAATAAAATTCTATTCAATCGGTAGACTCATAACGATTGAAAACAATGTTTTTTGGGAGTTTGGGTTTGACCAATTCGTAAAAAAAAAAAAAAATTAATTAAGACATGCGTGTCCGTCAAACTTCAACAATAATCTTTGTCAATTTTATTTTTCAGTCTTTATGATGGTCGATACTTGATCTATCTCTTACTGTTACATTCCCGGGCAACGCCAGGCTCTCCCGCTAGTATATTATAAAATGTACTTACAGTTATGATAGATAGCATTGAGTAGATGAATATTGAATATGCAAACAAATCCTTTTAAACCTTTGAGTCTTGCGTTCCTGAACAATTTTAACCCTTCTGCCTGATCTCCTGAGTCAAAATTCGCAAATAATTGGTATGTAATGTTTCAGGGTAGATATGAAAATAATATTTACCACCATTCAACCGGTGGCTAGGCATTACGTCATTTTTCTCTACCAATGGTAAAGTGGAGGTCAGGGCCCAAAGGATTAAGCAACATTGAGCCTGGTCAGTACCTAGATGGGTGACCACTTGGGAATACCATGTACTGTAAGCCCCGGCCACCATTCATTGGACCAGCGGTTGGGATAATGACCCATTCTTCCCCAGGAACGTCAAAGGGAAAGATCTGGATAAGGCCTACGTCCAACAAAGGACTTTCACATGATAATTAAGATAAGATTTTCCTTTGAATTACCAATTCTTCCAGATCTTTCGCAAACTTCACCAGTATATTCAACCGTTTGAGCTCGACGTTCCTGAACAATTCCAAACCTTCTGCCTGAGCTCCTGAGTCAAAACTCGCAAATAATTGGTATGTAATAGTTCATGGGAGATATAAAAATAGTTACAAGTGTTTACCCACCGGTGGCTGGGCATTAAGTCATTTTTCTCTACCAACGGTAAAGCGGTGGTTCAGGCTCGAATGGTTAAATTAAAGTGCAATATTGGATTTATCTCTTACATAATTTTAAACAGTTATTATTTCTTTGCGGTTTGGTTATATTTGACCCACTGATAGGTACCAACCTGCAATCCAGTGGTTGGGGACCCTCTGGGGTAAAGTCTATGTTACATTCGATTGTCTGAAATGGCCATCAACTTTTGACGCCCATAAATTTATTTTGCTCATCTCCCAAACTTACCAAAAAAAAAAAACGTAACAAGTGAATATTCGAAGCAACAAAGAAATCACTACTAAAATCCAAGTTTTTTTTTTATTTCTTTTTCTCATCCATTTTTTTCGAATGTTTATTTGTTTATTTCTCTTAAGTTAAAGAAATAAAAATCTGTGTCTTTTTTTTTATATTTCTCGTTTCTTTTTCTTTTTTTTTTTTTTTTTTTTGAAGAGGCAATGGCGCGAATTTATGGGTTCGTTTTTTCCGTCAGGGTAAGAAAAGAAGGTTGGTTAAGATAGCAGGAAAGATCTCGGTTGTCGCGGAAGGGAGAGTGTTTGGGGCCAGTAGGCTGGTGAGTGTCGGTGGGAAGACAAAAAGAAGGTTGGTATGGGTTACTGTAGTGTGACAATGGCAGCGCTCACCCGTGACATGTAGGAAGCCATTGTTTAGTCACTGATATGAAATACTGCCTTCCAGTATGTATGGCTGTCAGGCACACGAAAGAACTCAGCTCAAACCCCACGGCTTTTCCTATTAATATGAATGTTACGATCAATAATAACACTATTCGTTAGAAAGTTGTAAAGATACAGCCGACATAAAATTATGGAATTATACATGCGCCATAATATTCGACGCTTTTGAATGTTTGATGACCTATTTTTTTTTTTTTGACATATCTACAACTTTAAAGTCTTGCAAGAAAAATAATATATATATATATATATATATATATATATATATATATATTATTTATTTCAAATTATGATTCCAACACACTACATGACAGGTCTCATGTAGCTTTGTTGGAATCATATTTTAAATAAATAATTATATTTATGCTCTACTTTTGTATCGAGAACTATTTTTTAAAATAATAACAAAAATACTGAAGAACTTTGGATTATTTACCTAACGAGTTATTTACTATTTTCTATATATTTTCACACACACACACACACACACACATATATATATATATATATATATATATATATATATATATATATATATATAAGCTATCTTTTAGGGCTGTTTCGTAGTCTTTCTTAGCTTTGTTAAATATGGATTCATTGGAGGAATTGTCGGAAAGCCTGCGGTTAACCGATTTTGGTATCTGTTTGATTATAGAAGGCAGGTGGTTGGAAGACGTGTGTATATAAAGTAGTTTATCATTGTGTTCTCTGTATGGGTTAAATGTGCCTTTTCTTATGTTGAAGGTAGGTTAGTTCTTATATCTATGTCGAATATATATATATATATATATATATATATATATATATATATATATATATATGAAGGCCCAAACACTAATATTCCATGGTTATAATTTATTACACTGTAATCGTAATCACGGTCCAATTCATCGAACCAACAAATTTTGTAGGTCTGATGAATTGGATCGTGATTACCATTCCAATGTAATAAATTATAACCATGGAATATTAGGGTTTGAACCTTTTCATATTCTTGCTCTGTCTTGGAAATTGACCTCTACCTGGTTCTATCCTCTTGGGAATTTATGTACACACACACACACACACACACACACACACACACACACACACACATATATATATATATATATATATATATATATATATATATATATATATATATATATATATATATTTATATATATTGACCACTAATGTTATCTATCTATATATTTCTCTCTCTCTCTCTCTCTCTCTCTCTCTATATATATATATATATATATATATATATATATATATATATATATATATATATATATCGTGTTATTATGCTAATAATTTCGTTTTAATTTATTATATATTTTTGGGTAAAAGTTTGTTTTGTTTTGTTTTATGGCATATCCACACCTCAAACGATTATTTAATGTTAACAAGATTTTTATTGCTGCTAAAAAATTTTCTTCAAAAATGTATTGCTGCTAATATTTTTACTTAAAAATAATAAATAATAATGCTAATAATGTATTACTGGTAATAATTCTTCTTCAAACCGTATTGCTTCCTGTATTAAAACCTATTTTTACACTTTCAGAGTGCTTTGATCCCATTTTTGGCGTTAACTTTTGCCCATAGCTGGGACCCTAACAGGTGCTACCACCCCGGGTCAGCGTGGACCTGGAAACACCAGCAATTAAGAGGTGGTTCCACGCTCCTCAAAGCCTCCTGATCAGAGGCTTTAATGTCGGATGTAGTTTATCGTCTTACCCAGGATGTGGATGTAGTTTGTCGCCATACCAATGACGGTTGGTTAAAAGTGCGTATGTAAATATATCATATAAAAGTGGTCATTGATGTCAACACCTTCTGGCGACCGTCTGCTTTTTACTTGAACACGCAGTTCTTGTCATGAAGATTATGTCCCCTTCCACCCAATAAAAACTAACTGTTGGAAATCGGGGTTGACATCAGTGTCCAGTTTCATATTTATATTTATTATTACTATAGAAGCATCCATTGCCCTATAGAACTATTTATTATAAATAGTTCTATAGGGCAATGAATACTGGACAATTTGCTCACAGATGAAACAGAGACTGAAAGAAAAAAAGTACTGAACTGTTAGGTAATATAAATAATTTATATTACAAAACAGTTCAGTACTTTTTCTTTGTTTGCTTTAAGTCTGTTAGCAAATTGTTCAGCATTCTTTGCATTATAGAAGGATTTATATTACATAACAGTTCAGTACTTTTTCTTTGTTTGTTTCAAGCCTCTTCATCTGTGAGCAAATTGTCCAGCATTCACTGTCATATAGGAGGATTTATGTTGCATAGTATTTCAACTCTTCAACATATTATTACATGAATATTTTATTATATACTAGCAGCAGAGCCCGGCGTTGCCCGGGGATGAAACAGTAAGAGATAGATCAAGTATCGACCATCATAAAGACTGAAAAATAAAATTGACAAAGATTACTGTTTAAGGTTGACGGACACGCATGTCTTAATTATTATTTTTTTTTACGTATTGGTCAAACCCAAACTCAAACAAAAACATTGTTTTTAATCGTTATGAGTCTACCGATTGAATAGAACTTTATTATAAACAATTGTCTTGTAAATGGAATTTTTAAAGCATTCTGAATGTAAAAATTAAGAAAAAAGTGTGCAAGACAATAAGAAACACTACCTGCCAAAAAAAAGTGAAGTTTTGTTGAAATCGGTTGAAAAATGTAGGAAATCCGATCCCATATATAAACGAACACACACAAACAACCTGGGTTTTATAATAAGTATAACTCGATATGAGTTGTCCCCCTTTCATTATCGCAGCAGCGATGCGTCTTAATCGTGTTTTCAAATTGATTTCGTGCAAAAATAATTGTGTTTTTCCAATTTTTGGCGCTGTCAGAACCACCGCAAGGTAATTTTACGTAGTCCTGTGAAGTTTTGTTGAAATCGGTTGAAAAATGTAGGAAATCCGATCCAATATATAAACGTACAGACACACACACATAACCTGGGTTTTATAATAAGTGTGATTATTAATATTATATAATAGTATGTTTCCATTTTCTTCTATCAGCCGTGTCCTTTCTGGAAATAGCTCCCCACATCTTCCTTGTTTTTTTGTTATTTCTTTTAATCCCTTTTCCGTTCTCCATTACCAAAGCTCGTTAGGTAAGTTATATCTGCTTTCCTCTGTTCCTCTTGCCTACAATGTATGCCCTGTGAGTGTCTAACTTTCTGAGCCTCCTTTCCGATATTCTGTATAAATGTACTTTTTTCCTTCCAATTCCTTTAAAACTTAATTGTTGATTAAGTGTTCAGTCTATGATATCCTCAGTATCCTTCTGTAGAACGACATCTCGGTTGCCTCACGTCTCTTCTTGATATTTGAGGAGATTACACAGTATTCGCTGCCATATAGAATGAACGATGAGCATGGGTTCGAGTGGTAATAACGTTAGCTTTCTTGACATGAGACACGCTCACCATGGTCGGTTTGTCTGGAAGGTGAATTCTTGATGTTGTCTTGTGAATGAAATAGGTTTGATCCAAGCCTTGCCGTTGAATTAGGGTTGACCCAAGCCATTAGAATTAAATTGGGTTGACTCAAACATTACCAGTGAAATTGGGTTGACCCAAGCCATTAGAATTAAATTGGGTTGACTCAAATATTGCCAGTGAAATTGGGTTGA